GAGCGACGTAATGGAGGAAGTGAAGTAATGGAGGACGCCGAGAAGTGTGAAAAGTAATGAAGTGCGGGGGCAGGTGGTATTCATCGGGGGGAGAGAGGAAATCTGAAGAAAATAAAGTAAAAGGGAGGGGAAGTACTGACAAAAGTGTGTAATATATAGCGTGGAGGGGCACAGCTCTCCTGAAACTGCAAAATCATAACTTTTTTTTTTAATAAACGGAACTAAGGGGGATCACAGTTGTTGCCTTTTAAGACAGTGAATTGAAGGCAGCGCTCCATATCTCTGTGGATGTTGTAAGCTTTAGGTAAGGGGTAGATCTTAGAAACCGCTGATGATACTTGCTCTCCCTCCACTGACCTCTGCATGTGTTCGCAGCCCAGCCGATCAGCTCCATTTAAAACTCCAGCTGGGTCCCTTCCCAGAAATATATGTAAGCAAGTGAACACAACAGGGGGCTTAGACGGCTTATATAGCTGGGTATATTTAAGTGCATGGAGGACTAAGATCCTTCATGGTCACAAGTAGGTTTTAGTTGTATAAGCTATGTCAAAGGACAAGTGCCAGGTAGAGAAGGTGCCTTGCCCAGGATCGTTTAAGAAGAGGGCAGCGGAGGCAGGAATCGAATACCGGTCACTGGGGCAGCCGTGGATCAGACCAACCTTCCCAGGCAGATGAGGCAGAGGCACCTCGAGATGCTTGCTCAGCTGGACTTCTGCCTCCTCAAATAGATAGTAAGTGGCGTGGAAGCAGGCTGATGTTCTTAAAAAGCAAAAGAGAAAATTATAAAAGAAATGTGCCATTAAAGCGTTTCCATCTAGAGAGAGAGGATGGTGCAAAGACAAAGAAGTTAAAGAAGCTGGCTGTGGTCATCTGATCAAACAGGCCATGTTCAGGTCAGGGAGCAGGGCTGGAGTCTGACATGGACTTTCACAGAGTGAATGACAGAGGCTGCTATCAGTGGTGACAAGGCCACAGATCTAGTCATTTATTAACCATGTATATAATTTGGTTTATTCACCATTATGCAAGAAATTGCAAAATTGTAATATACATTGCATGCTGCAGCTTATTTGTTCTCTTTTAAAACAGTGAGTTTCTCCATTGAGCTGAGGAATTTTGCCAAAGATACCAACTTCACATATCAGTATAGGAATATATGGACTGGGTCAGAGCAGAGGTCCATCTTGCCCAGTCCTCTGTCTCTGGCAGAAGCTGGTGGTGGACATCTAGGTAAAAACTAAAAGCATGCAGTGATCTGGTCTGACCTCCCACCTCCAGCTATCTGTGACTGAGGGACTTCCCTGAGCCAGAAGTCTTACCTTTCTGTTTCAGGTTGGATTTTATACAACTTCAGGTTGCCTGATAAAATGCTCATGTCTAAAATATGAACATGAAAGCTGATGTTTATGTTGTATTCTTCCTCTAGATAGGCCAAAGTGACCAGCAGTCTCTATAGCCCCAAGCAAAGTGCGTAAAGCATCCCCTGAAGGGACCAGCAGTCTGTGCAAGTGTACAGCTGATACTACAGTTCTGAATGCAGAATAACAAGGAGGAGGTTGATGGGGCCTTTCTCTCCTGTTATTCCTTGTAATTTAAGTAAATATATTCTGGGATCAAAATACTCTACATTTCCTGAGAAATTATGATGACAACTTCACCAAATGCACAATTGTGTCTTTTTATCAGCCTTTTCACAGGCTTGATTTTTCCCTTGTCTAGTTAAGCAGTGTTTCAAATTCCCAAGCAAAAGCCAAAGAAAGACCTTCCAAGTTAGAGTTTTGTTATTTTCTGAACTCAGAGAATTTGCATGTGGGAAGTATTTATCTGATTGTCTCATACGCTCCTCATATCTCCCTCACTCAACTCCCAGGTCACAGCCAAAATGCTGACTGTGTTAACTTCTTCCGGTTCATTTTGAAAGATTTCATATGAAACTAGTTTTTCCCCTTTCCCTTTGGAGGTTATTGTAGTGTCACTGAACTTCTTTCCATAAACTCAGGCCTTGGGAATCCTTAAATAGCTAGTCTGCATCCTCACTGTTTATGATTGGAGTGTGTTTGCAAAATAACTGTCATGCCAGCCTCCCCCACAACCATTTAGACATAATCCATTCTTTATTTTTGTTCTCATAAATTGCTGCATCCAGACCTGTAAAAAAATAGTTTATTTTCCTCTCTGACTCTCCTGCCTCTGTTTCAACAGATTTCAGTATGCAGTTGGCTGCAATGCTGAATGGGAATCTTTGTATTGGATTTACCTTTAGACATCTGAAGGGCAAGCCCACTCTATCCTCTGTTCAGTGCATAATTTGATTTCTGAACTGGTTTTTATCACCAGTTCTATCATCAGGAAGCCACAGGCAAAGACAAGCTGAAGGCGGGGTATTCTGGGTACTCCCTGAGGCACCAAAGTCCTTGAGTTGTGTAGTTACTCTTTTTCTACAGAACTTAATTGTGCTAAAGGGTGTTGGAGGTCAGTGGTTGCACGTGGAGAAGATACTCTGTGAATTTGACACCAATTGATTATTATCTGTGATTTTATTATCTGTGTTTCAAGCTATTTTTGGAAATCCTTCTAGACACCTATTTATGCCATTAGGTATCTAAATAGCTTTGAAAAAACATCCCCTGGTTTCCAAGGGTCTTGGCAGAAGTCAACGCGATGTCTTTCAGAGTGCTGGAAATTCTGAACATATCTACTGAATAACAAGGTTTTGAGTGCCCAGTTCCAGGTAGCTAAAAAGCAGCTTTTTGCAGAAGACAGATGTTCAAAATTGGTCCCTAGAATCTGACACATCTTCAGTCTTGAAACATGACGCACAGACCAAGGTTATCCAACCCTACCCGCCCTCTGAACATGTGAACGGGGCATTCTTTGCACTGATGGAGAATAGGTTAAGGCTGTATTTTAAAACATAGCTTCCTCTCCCCCTCCCTGCCCAGCTGGAAGTGCCAAGCACTAATCTATCTTTCTGCATTCATCAGGCGTTCAGCACTTTTGAAGATCAGATTCCCCAGCTGTGTCAGATGGAGTGCTGTAAAAATAGGACAGAGATAGAAATTCACCTGATCTTTATAGAAAGAGCTTCCTCTGGTAAGCAGAAAGAATGACTGTATAGCCTGAAGGTATTCACAGTCAAGTAGACTGAGCTTGTCAACTCATTCTGCTGGGGACACAAAACAGCCATCACTGAAGAACAGGGTCAGATTCCACCTACTGACCTAGGCTTGAAAGGCAGCAATAAAATGCAGAAGTTCTGGTCTCCTTAGTAAAGCTGACTTGTATGTGCTTTACTTTATCCTCTCTAGCAGCGTCCCATGGAGAAAGGCTTAAGCAGATGAAAAAAATAAAGATTTCCCTTTTTTTCTGGTAGAGAATTAACTCCTCTGGGGTCTCCTGCGAGCATACAACCTTCTCCTATGCATTGGAAGTCTCCGCAGCTGAGTATTTCCACGCCTCTGGCTCTGCAGAGCATTCATTCGGATGGGAAGGATGGTTTTGCTGATGACATTGAGACGTTCGTTCAGTTCTTCTAGCCTTTTCCTTATCGACTGGACTTCCCTCACGAGATTGTCCACAGCTGCGGAGACAGGGCGGAGACTACAGAGAGAGTAATACAGGAGAATAACTCAGTGTGAGGAACGTTGCTGAGCATGCAAAATAATTTACCATGGCCTTGAGTTTGTTGGTGGGGAAGTTACAAGGAAACATTAACAGATGCTTCCAAAGCCACCCTGACCCTTGGGTGGTGGGAACTCATCTGAGATGCCTTCGTCTGAACCCAGGAAACCACGAGCTTCAGGACCAGGACGGGCGACACGCTCTTTCCATCGCCACCATCGCGCAGCTGGCTCAGTGCAGAATGACAGCTGGTTTATGAGCTCCCAGAAGCACTTCACAGCACTCCTGCTTTAAGAGGGGAGATGAAAACCATCCTGCATGGCTGGAACCAGCAGGGGTAGAGAAGAAGAGAGCAACAATGCGTGGGATCACCTAGGAGGATTTCCCAATGAAGGGCAGGCTGCTGCGTGCCGTGGTGCAGCTGTGATTGCACAGCTCCCTGGTCGCTCCAGGCTGTGCCTCTGCCTGAGCTGAGCGAGGGGGAGAGCCAGGTTTTACATCAGGATTTGGCAAGGTGAGGGCTGCATTGATGCACCAGTGTGCTTGGGGGTAACCATGTCCCTTCCCTTGGAGGGCTTCCTCTCAGTCTCCCTTTGGGTGTTCCGAAGCTCTGATCATTCTAATCTTACCTGATATTAATTAGTATTAATTAGCCTCAGTGTTAGCCAGGAGCAGACATGGAGACTGGGCCAGTGATTCCCATGGATTACTGTCAGTCCTCCATATTTCTAATGGACTGGCCTGTGTCCTTACCAGCAATTACTCTTAATTCAAAGCCCTATGCAGGAAACATGGCTGAGTAGTCTCATTACATCTCCCTGGACTAAAGTTAGAGCTTTCCAAATACATGACTTAATATTGGCCCTGATAATCTTAGGCAGCAATGAATTTCAGCACTGGCAGTGTGAACGTCATGATGAATTCTGTGCTAATAACAGCAGCCACCATGCAGTCAGGGAGAAATCCACTTGATGCTAAAGGCCAGCATATAATTTATCAACTATATCCTCTTGAAACCCTAATTGTACAGACATTGTGTGACCTTCTGACTAGTGCCGTTTCATTCTTCTAGCCTTTCCTCTTCAACTGGTTCAATGCTTAGCATTGACAGATATTCTTTTCTTTTTCTTAAAGAGAAAGCTGAGTTATGGAAGAGGACCACTTGCTTTAGGAACAACTCTGATTTACGTGATATTTAGGTTTCTAGTATTCCCTACTCCTCTCTCCCTTTCATTGCCTTTTCCACTGTTTCTAGAAATTTCAGATTAAATTAAATTTTCTGAGTGTGCGCTCAATCGTTAATATTTCCTGCAATGCAAAGGGAGAAATATGAGGACATGGACTAGTGAATAGCTTTCTCTGATCTGGGTGTTACAGAGATTGAAATAAAAAACATCACAGGCCAAATCAGCTTCTTCTCCCTGCCCTGTGGCCAAGTCCATGTGTGGATTTGTAGCACAGTTCAGTTTTCCAGCCTGTTCTCACAGGAGTGTGGTGCCGACAACAGCCTAAATTTTCTTTAGGATAATTCTATATATAGTCAGGGCAGTAGAGAATGTTTCAACAACAAATAGTCAGCAGAATATTCAGTTTACTAGAGTAATCAGAGCTGCTAGGACAACAAATACCAAGACAGTGGGATTCATCTCCCCACAGTTGAGCAATCTGAAAGTTCATCTTAAAGAAGATGAATCCCGCTCAAGGAAGCACACCCAGGAGAGGACTGAATCCCACCTCCCGATGAAGGGAATTACCTGGAGAACTCAGGCAGCAAAGCATTCGGTAGGGTGTGTTTCATTTGCCAGAAGATGCCGTTTCCCCATTTCTCAAGTGTTTGAGTAATGCTGTTAATGCCTTCTATGTTGACTTTGTCAGCTAGGTTAGCAGGATGTCCGTGGAAGAGAGGCAAATAAACGTGACAGAACAAGAAAATGTGAGCCAGTGGTCTGAATTTGATTCCACTCCCCATCACTTGAACTGAGTTGCAATGAAATGCCAAATATTAAACATATGGAGGATCTAAATTAAAAAGCAGATAACCTTCCCTCACAGTGTAATTCTCTGCCTCCGGTTGCCCGAGTTTTCTTCTGCCACTAGATACCCCAGCTGATTATTCCTAAAACCATTTTTCTCTCCAAAAATCTCAGCAGTTTCCCAGAAGCTTCCCAGAATCAAGAAAAAGCACTCATGAATGAGCAGTGTGTGTCTCATTCCAAGGACACAATAGGCAAATCTTCACCCCCGAGTTAGCGAACGCCTCCAAGGCTGCACCACCACCACCTCTTACCGCCTTCTCTGTAGTTCCATTTCTGGTGGTCCAGAAATTCCTCCTGGGATTTACTGCAGGGCAAGAGGACGAAGAAGAGGAAAAGAGGAAGAGTCACCATGATGGCTGTTTGTAGGACCTTGACTTTCCCCTGCTCTGTGGAGACAAAAAATCTTGCTAACTGCTTTATTTCTCTTTTTCCTCTCCTTCTGCACCTCCCACCTGTCACCCCAAATTTTCCTCTGATGATGTATTTCTTTAAAATGTTGTTCAAGTTGTTCAGCCTAGCTTTTACAGAAGCACAGGGACTTTTGTTTTTCACAAGGACAAACCTCCTTACTTTTTTCCAAGCCATTGAGTGGTACAGAGATGCTTCATCAACTGGCAGCAGCTAGAAAGCAGCTTTGCTTCACATGTAGCCATGTTGGGATAGAACCTTATAGCTATAAATGTTCTATGAATGTCAGGAGGAGGTACTACGAAGTACGGAAATAGCTGCATCCCCACTTTGCAATTAGGGAAAGCAAGGTACAAAACAGTGAAGCAATTTATCAAGGATTTAATAGAGGCCAGATTAGGAAATCGTTCTTTTTGATCTGATCCACCAACCAGTGGCAATAACTGAGATGCTGCCCAGTGATGGAGCCTCAAACGCATGTACTGTCTCCACCTTGCCCTGATGTCAGCGGGTCAGTTCCTCCTGAGCAAATCTGCAGAGTAGGCAAGACAGGTATATGAACTGATGTGAGCATTTACCTAAGCTCCTTGTCTTCTTTCGAGTTTACCATCATTCCCAAGCCAATGGAAGTCAACCCTAACCTACAGGCCCTCCTGGACAAGTACCATCTCTGAATGTAAGAGGATAGGTCAGTCTCTCCACAGCTTACTCATGCTAATTTGTTATTCTGTCTTAATTAAGTAGTCCCTTGGTGTTGAATCTGATATTTTTATTTTTTTAAAATGTCACGAACAGCTGTTCTAGTAAAAACTGGCTGGAAATATCAATTATGCACATATTGCACATAACAAACAGAAAAAATGCATTGCCAAGTTCATGGGTTTTAGTGATTATTTCAGTCACCTGTGATGGAGGGGCTCATGAGAGAAGTAGGCACATTCAGAAAATCCAAATTACTCCCCTGTTCAGGTACATGCATCAAAAGTCTAAGACCTCACTGCAAAATATGAGGACATTAAATTGCTTTTTGAATATCATATAACCCTCATCTCCTAATCATCTGGGAAGAATTCAGCCACCTCAAAACCTACTAGAAGCTGTAGCAGATAAAGCAGTACATTAATAAATCCTTTTACTTTGTGCCTTTCTTACATTCAACCACTAGTGTATTTTAATTGCAACTGCATTTATTTTTCCATATATTTAAAATAGCAGTGTGAATATAGCCATACCGATGGAAAATGTCATGCTACTTTAAAAATATTACTTTCCACCTGTCAGGATGTATTTTGTACTCAGTATTCTTCTTCTAATTGCAGCATTCATTTAAAGGCAAAAAATAAATTACCTTCTTCCTATCTCACACATACATACACCTTTTCTACCCCCCAGCTCAGAGCTGCCAAAATGAAAATCTCTAAGAAGGTTTGATGATATCACGGAGGCACATAATGAAATGGTCTTCATGAACCTTCTTGAAACTATTTGCATTGACACCACAGCTCCTCTGCCTCTCTGCATTTTCAGATAAATACTCCAGCCTTTAGACCTTTTTTTCTTTTCTCTTTCTTTTGATGACTATGCACTGCACATGCCTTTTTAATCTTCCCTGCTGGGAAAGGATTCACCAGACGCAAACGTCTCTAATTGCAGATGATTTGAAAATGCTGCCAACATCAAGGAGGCAGTGTGGCTTCCCAGCTCATTTTAAAACATCCTGAAGAGATTGTCCATTCCTTACCCTTTCCACCTCCCACCAGTTTCAGTACCCCAGGGCTGGGATACTTTGATCTTTCTGTATTTGTTAAAAGAAGGGTGGTGATAAATTCCACCTACATCTGATACTGAAAATCAACCCTACTTGATCTCAACCCTTTTAAAACATCAGGCGTCCAAATGAATCACAAGACCCACACGCTCTGTTTGTAGGTCCCCTCATGGTCCAGTTCCTCTGTAGCTTTGTTCCCTGCATTCCTGAGAGCCTATTGTAATTTATTATCATAGTAAACACCAGGTTATAATCATCTTTGAAATAGATTCACATATCTCAGACACTTACACAGAAATTGAGCAATCTTCCCTCCCTTAGGTGGAATTGTAGAAGGCAAATGGATATTCACTAATAAGGTTTCTAGCAGAAAAAGTCTGCAGGGTCATCTGTAATAGGAACCAGATCCCAAGCCCATTGCAAATATGTCTCTGGATCCCTTGCAGTGTCACACTAGAAAATACTGTCAGGGTAGAACATGGATTGGACAAGCAGGGAGAACTCTCTTACATCCTTGAATGAAAGCACTTTTCTAAGTACGGAGAATAACAATAATAACATAGTAGCTTTGTTATTGGTACTATTAATTACAATAATATGGCATGCTCTCTCACAGAAAATTACAGCATATTCTGCCCTTGGAGCAGGGTGGGCTCAGTGATTCACCGGACAGTCCCTTCATCTGCAAGCAATGAAGACAGACATATTCGTCTCATTATTACACAATATTTTTTTTCTTCTTTTAACCTCTCAATTCCTCGCTCCAACATGATAAAAGAGCTCTGCTAGCTCAATACCCTGAGCAGAGCCCTGCTGTGAGCGGCAGTTGTGCCATCCAAGCCTGAATCCCTACCCCAAAGCAAAGGAACACTGCCAGGATTTGCACTCCCATCGCTGTCCCTCTCCCATTCACCCTCCCTGTTTCTTGCTGCTCCAGTATATTCCATTTCAGGCAGTGGGGAATGACAGTAGAACACTGAGATTTCACTGGTACCTGCCCCAGATTTTGACACCCTAAGGGAAAACAGGTGATGACTTGCCCATCGGTTGTGCTGTCTGCTAGGCTATTGGGGAATTGCCTGGGTTATCCTCTCCCGGTGCCAAACACAGCTTCATTTCAGAGAGCCCTCTCTCCCCTGAAGCCCGAGAAGAACACACTGTTCCTGTTGCAGACGTGAGTTGTTGCATTACAATTAAGAGCTTGCCTGCCCCTTGTATATCAAGAGGGCTTGAAACCTTTCCCTGCACTTCTGACTGCTCTAAACACATACACTCTTCTGATGCCACACATGAGCATCCCGGTGTGTTAGCTCAAGCCCATGCTTGCTTTGAGAGGAGGATTTTGTTGATTAGCAATCACTGTAGTGGTACCTAAAATGAAGGATTTTTCGCTGAAATGTTGGACTGCAAGTGAATTAGCTTTGTGGTTTTCATTTGAGACTCATTCTCCTCCCATAATTTTCCCAAGTTCCTTTCGAGCTACTTTCAAACTAAAGCTGAAGAGCGATATTGGGTTTTGGGTTATTTGCAGAGAAATAAAATATACTTTTAAATGAATCAGGGAGTTTGATCTCAGGTAAATCATATATACATAAAATGTAGCTCTCACTCCAATGGTAATGGATATTTAAACATCAAAGTAAGTTTAAGATTTTCAATTTTGTAAAGGATCTCAATAGATGATGAAGGTATTTTTGCAGACTGTTGGAATTTCTCTATCTTTATTTCCACATGCAATATTTTAAGAATATTTTAAGGTTATGTTACTTACACACACCCAACTAAAATCTTCTGGTTTATGTATAAAGTTAAAGAAAGTTTAGGTGCTATAAACCAAACAGCTTCACATTAAAAAAACATATAGTAGCTGCACACAATTTCTCAGTTAATGCCAGTTCTGTCAGAGCTCCCAAGCTAGGATCCTGAAAAGACCCTGAGCTTTTAGAGGAGAAAGCTGCCAAGACTGTGAGTCCAGAACAATCAGAGAATTTGCAAGCTCTACTTGCAAAGCGGATGGCATTTGTTAGCTCTCCAAGCAAAAAAAATCAGGGTAATATAAACATTAGCATATGTTTGTAGTATTATGTAATGGTGGAAAGATCAAGAAAAATGCCAAAAGCAATTTAAAAAATTGGATCCTACAATATTAACCCAGCCACAGTGGTACAGCTAGGATATCACCTGTTTCAAAAGTCCTTGTTAAAAATCCATTATACTGTGTTGTTCTTCAGTTTATATGTGTGTGGGTATAATGCTCTATGTTGGTATATGCGCACACCCAGGTTGGGTTATGTAGGAATAACAATATCTTGACTTTTTCAAGTGTGGCAACATATTTGAGTTAAATGGTGCTGTTGCATATAATTAAGAGTTACACTGCTCATTTACTACCTGGGTGTTGTGTGAAAGCAAAGAGCACCTGAAACCCTCAAATAGCCTGACCATACTGCTAAACAAAGGGATCTGACTGACAGCCCCAATGACTGACAGCTAGGGTGATGCTGTTGCCAGCAGGCAAGCACACTGATGGTAAAGAAGAAAAAAAAAAGCCATCCAGGTGCAAAGCACATATCTACTGCAAATCATAACATTAGTAAAGTACTGTTGGTTTTAGGAGGTAATATACACCTTCTGCCTCTTCTCCAGATGTACCTGCTTTTTCAGGATATGTCTTATCTCCATCTCTCTCTCACTTAGAGCTTGGTGCTCCCCTCCCTCTTAAGAAGTTTCCTCTCTCTCCCTGGATAGGCACCCACAGACCTCGCACTCTCCATGTCTGCCTGTCTGGCTGTCTCTAAGGATTTGCTCACTCTTCCTTCCTCCCTCCTTCTTTCACTCTGCACACCCCTGGTCTCTGGAAATGTAGGTAGCAATCCTCCAACCTCCAAGTCCATGCCAGTCTGCACATGTTCCCTCCTCTCCTGGCTCTTCCCACGGGTCCCTTTAGAGTCCCTCAACCCAAGAAGCTCTCTCCAAGGTGCATGGATGTGTCTCCTCCAAAGCAAGAAACAAAACATTCCTAGGAAAGAAGGCAGAGAATTGCATACAAGCGTTACCTGTGCTCTTGAGGCCAGTCCTTCTGTGATGAGGCTTCCAAATCTCTGCCTCCCTGCTCCTCTTCTCCTCACCACCCCCTCTGCATTTCAGCTTGCAATGAGTGACGTGTCCCTCTTCATTTCCCCGCTCTCTGCGTTTCCACAGTCTTTCCGTGGAGCCTCCTCCAGCTGTACCTCTCCTAGCCCTCCCTCCCACTCCTGCAAGCTAGCCATCTCCCCCCACACATGGGAGCCTCATGGGAAGGAAAGCCTGGGCGATGGAGCCCCTCTTAAAGCAGCTCCGACTGCAAGGACACCCGTATATCTTTGCCCGTGGTTCTTTTGGGCAGCTCTCAACCGCGGGCTCTCCGGCACAGCTGTATGACTTCTCTGAACTAGTCACAGTTTCCACTATGCAGCGCTTCTCTCTGGCTGCTTGAACCCTTCGGCCATCCAGCCATGAATTTGTTCACCACGTTGTTCCTGCCTTTTAACAAACACGCCAATTAATTCTCTGCTGATTAGTTCATTCCTGATGTGCTCTGCCAAATCTATTTCTGGTGGAATAAACAAGGAGGGATGAAGCGGCTGCAGTGTTGTTATTTTTTTTCCCCCTACCCCCCCACCCCCAGGTCCGTCCCTGCCAAATCAAACAGGCTCAGGTCTGGTCAGTACTCAATAAAGAGATTTCCAAAGGAACACAAGGTGTTAAAGGGATGATTTTTGTGAAGCAGGAGGTGGACCCCTGACTCTGGTCCCGTGTCCGTGTCAGACTGATATTTTGCTGTGATTTGAGAGGATGTGCAGCTGCCACAGCCCGAAGCTGCACAATTGCTGTACACCCAGGCTCATGACTAGACCCATGGCACTGCTTGTGAGTGCCTTGGCCAAATCTGCATTCTTCCTGATATTACTTCTCCAGTATCAGCTGGCAACAATACCCTCTCTGTTTCCTGACCAGCCTATTCTTATTTAACTCTATTTTTGAACTGCCAAAACGTCTGCACTCAACAGTGAGAAAAAGATGCTTTTCTCACAGGGCGGAGGACTGTCCAGCCGCTCAGAATAAAAGCAAACACCCAGAAGTAAGGAGCCAGAGGATATGTGCAAGTGTTACAGACAGAGCAGTTACAAACGCAGTATTATGATTGCAACAGAGTGTTGCTGGTTTACCCCAGGTGAGGAGCCGATCAGGAGGACAGCTGAGTGGCATCTTAAGCACAGTCCATAAACATCAGCCAGCACTATCATTTAGTCAGCCACTTAAATCCACTCAAGAGAGAGGTCCAGCTGGGACCACACTCAGGGGTATCTGCTTCTCTGACACCAGAAGCATGTGGTTTTGGCTTCTCCTGCTCCCCCAGTCCCGCTGGCTCTGTGGCAGGGAAATTTCTGAGAAGACTGCCTTGTTTATGGAGCCTTGCCACTGAAACAGCAGGACATTCATTTGCAAAGTTATAAAACACCAGTTTTCAAAAGCAGCCCACAATATACAGGCTTAACACAGACCAGCCTCCGGAGGAACTGGAAACCTATTTTTTCAGGGCTCAAACAAGCAAACAAAATGTCCAGGCAACAGGCAAATAACCCAAACAATCATCTGTCTCCAGCTGTTCCCCATTCAGCACGTGGCAAACACAGTCCTGTTATGCTGCCGTTGCAATTCCCTGTGAAGAGGAAACGAACGGCTGAGGTCAGCGTGGGATGGGGACGCTGGATGGAGAAACGCCCTGAGCAAGAACCCCTCCACGGCATGGCACAGAGACACCAGCTGAGCGAACCTGATGGGGAAACCCACAAGGCGTGGCAACACACTCCCAAAACCCCAGTCCGAATCCAACCTGTGCTGGTGAAGGGTCGCAGTGTGTGCCCGATATCCTGGGCTCATGCTCGCAGCGTGCTACCTCAGCACGGCTCTCAGTGGCAGGAGTGCCTATCACAGAAATTCCCCATGCCCTGTGCCTCCTCAGGGATTAGTGGGGGGGGGCAGGACAAGAGGGAGCTGTAGCACTTCCCTTCCCTGTCTCCTGCCTGCTACCATCCACATTTCCAGTGATGTGAAAGGAGCACTGCCCAGCCCACCATCACCACTGCAGCTGCATTCAGATAGGGATACCCAGAGCCCACATGCCATCACTGTACCACACTAAGCAGAGACTGGGAACTTTAATACAATTAACTAACAAGAAACTCCCTTTTTTTTTATTGCCACATTCCTGTGACTCTGTTGTCGGCAACTGCAGCGTGTTCAATCTGCTCTCCTGTGTGAGGATTGCTGCTTGTAGTCAGTTTTCTAAACTTGAGCAGCCTCAGCATGAATTTTGCTTGTGATATGCAAATAGGCTGTTGCACGTGTCTGTCTGTGGGTCTCTCAGGACACGCAAGAGCTCTGAGACAGCAAAATCCCCCTGGCAAGAAAAATGTCTGCAGAAATATTTGTGCTCATTTCCCCAGACCCTGGTTCAGCCTGCAGCCTTTGGCAGGTGCAGATTTAGCAAGCTAAGGGCAAAAGGGGCTCAAACCCTCCCTGTAACCCCCTGCGCCTTGCAGGGTATTTGTGCCCTGGGCCATGTGGGAGAGCAGCAGCTGTGAGGGTCTCCCCAACACTGTTGCTTGTGTCCAGCCCTGGCTGCCACGCACACACTGAGCCAAAATACTCCCAGAGTGCAAAAACTGGGCGCCATGAGTGAGATGGAGTCACAGAGGAATTTCTGACATGCCCCGAGGACGAAAGAGGAGGCTGGCTCTGAGATGTTAACAGCTGTAGGGCTGGAGACCTTTTAAAAGTCCACACATGAGCCACCAGGGTTTTCAATAAAGCTCTGAAGTGCCACAGACGCTCCTGTGCAGTTTCTAGGAGCATCCATCTTTGGAGCTGCCCCAGGGACAGATGGCCACTGCTGGACTCCGACTTGCCGCAGCCCTGCACATGAGCTGGAAAGCAGCCTGCCTGAAACAGCTCCTCTCTCCCCAGACTGGCTTACAGAGCTGGTCACCTCCACCGCCGCCGTGCCCGTTCTCCTTCCTGCCCCTGCGCGAACCACCACTGCTTCCAGGTCTCGTCGACATAGCTGCAGCCACTGCTCTGTCACATCAGATCAAGGCAAATGCTGAGCACCTGTGAAGTGTTGCTCTCTTCGCCTGGTACCATTTCATACCTGCTTTGGACTGCTGCAGATCAGTGAGCGAAATGTCTTTGCTGCATGACGCTTCTTTCCTTGCCCAGCTGGGATGCCTGCATGTCACTGCTCCAAGCACAGGCACCTGCAGCAGGACTCAGACCTCCCATGGCATTGCCTTGAGCTCACGCGGGGAGGCAAGGATGTCAGAGGAAGCCACAAAGAACAAATGGGGGACAGAGATCTGGCACTGAGAGTCTACACAGCATTTCATAGCATGCATTGACCCAGTGTTGTCAGACCCAACTGGTTAGAGGGAAGAGGGTAACTCCCAAGGGCACGTCAAGATGTGTGCTTGGTGCTAGGCAGTTTGCAGGATTTTGCAGCAGATGCTGCCTCCCCTTGTGCATAACATAGCCCTGAAGCATCTACCCACTCTTCTCTTCATTTATTGCTTCGCTAGTTCACACACCACTGAGCACTTCCCTCCAGGCTCACAGCCACAGGACTTCTAGCATTGGCAGAACAACACTGGGACTGGAAGAGTCTCTAGAGATGGACCCATCAGGGTTTTGGCTGGGGCAGCCCCCACAACTACCAAGCACCGTGCCTGCCCCAAAACAGCACGTGGGCACACCACACAGCCTCGGGGCTGCACAGCTGAAACCTTTGCAGAGCTTCAACCATCTTCTGGCCTTTTGCTCATGCTGGGGTGAACTCAGGGCTGGCATTAGTTTTACTACCTGGGCTCATTAGAAACTCTACGATCATCTGCACTATTTAAAATTGCCTCAAGCGCGCTTGCTGTAGGTACCAGCAAACTTGGAGTGTTTTGCATCAGCTAGAAATGTTATTGTCACTTTTCGTAGTTTCACTTGCTTTTATTGTTTCTTCCTGTTAGTTTTCACTGCTTGATGCATTTTATTTTGTTGTTTGAACAAGCATTTCCTATTTATTGCAGTATCTGCTCCCGTGTGAGTCCTCTGTCATGGAGGGACTCAGCCAGGCACGGAAGGAAAGAGGATGGCGCTCCTGGCCCTGTCCATGTAGCCGTGCAAAGGGGAAGGGCAGGACAAGAACAGGTAAAAGCATTAGCATAGCACTAACAGGAGTGCAAAGATGCAGGTTATTTCTTCCCTCTGGACACCTGGAGGAAGGGACAGCTGAGAATAGCTCAGCAGCTCATCAGGAGGCGATTGCCCCTCTGATCTTACAGCAGAACTGCATGTGCGATCACTCCATCGTGCAGCTCTGCCAGTGACCTGCTTTAGCTTGAGGACCTTCAATAGCAGTGTTTAATGTGGGTCCCTTCTGAATCAGAGGTTCAGGTGTGGGCAGGCTGGAGAAGGCTGTAATTTCTGGCAGAAAGGTGACAAGAAGCAAGGCAGTGGAATGTAACCACCAGTAACCCTGCCCTGCTGCAGCCCAACCCAAACCTCTTTCACCATTTGTTTGCATTAGCCCCATCGTTTACTAAGTGATTGGCAGCTGTACAAGGGGAATCACCGTACAAAAAGGGACATTTGGTGTAGGCTGGTCCAGTGGCTAAAGCTGAAGAAAACTAAACAAGCTGATAGCAAGGGAGGAGGGGCAGTATGCATGGCCAGAAAGAAATAAAGGAGGGGAAAAAGAGAAGATAGCTGCAACCTGGGTGCAGGGCTAGAGTGCGCTATCTGGGATTTCTGGACAAGACAGCTGTCCCCACATATTGTGTTCCTGCTGCTGTTCAAGGACATCACCCCTCTCCTTGCGTGTGGAGTGACAGCGAGAAGTTACCGAAAGAGGTAACACTGAAGTGGTTTCCTTATGGTGTGTCCCACCATTTTTGAGCCAAGCGCAAAGTCTTCTGCTGGCCCTATTAGGTGACCCTGAATATCACGACAATTTGTGTAGGTCAGGTGAATATCGCGTATCCATACAGCGACTCCAACACACTGGCATTTCAAAGGACATGGATCAGGTCAGAAATCAGGCATCCAGCAGGGCGCAGCAAATTTACCTCAGGCAGGGTCTTCCCCCTACACAGGACAGCAGGTGCCAGTGTGGGCAGAGAGGGCTTGCA